ATATCTTGATTATATAGATGAAATTGGTTTTGTAAGAGTAACTCTAATAGGGCACATTTTAGATAATCACTCAGTAGGTAAAGAATGCATTATGCTTGTTGCTACAGAGGAGGGGTAAGTGTGTGTCACAATGGCATAGATACGTTTACAGCAGCAGTTCGGGTCCTGTTGACGATCAGGGAGTCCAAAGGAGGTTGCCAGCCTTTCTACTCCATTTTTCCTGAAAGATCTTTGCAGGGGACAAGGACTGAGAGAGCACTTGGGACTCCTACGCTGGACAGCTGTGTAAATAAAGCCTTTCTTGCAAGTGATGGGCCTCAGTGCTACCGAAACTATTCTGTTTTCTAGGTAATGGCGTGATTCTAGTTACGGTTTGGGGCTGGGATTCTGTTTTGTTGTTTTTTGGAGTAGAAGTTGAGATCTGATCAGCAGACATAGTTGAACTTCTGATAAGTCACTGATGATTACAGTCTTTGCCTGTAAATGATTCTCTTTTTCTTCTTATACCAAGCAGAGATCCTCATCTCTAGTTGTGGTATTACAACAGGCGAAGAAAGTTTGCTTAACAAGTTGACATTGCTTTGCTCTGTAAAGGAAGGGTTTCGTAATGAAATAATTATTGAATTAAGCAGTGCTTCTCACATACCGTGTTTTGTGCTTGGTCTGTTCTGTTTTCAGTAGTTTTTCATTTTTTTGGTGTGGCACTGATGATAAACTGGAAAATCAAAGACTTTGTAATCCCTTGGCACTACTTAAAAAGGCACGTTTCTCTCTTCTAAGCTGTCATGGGGTGTAATCTATTGTAGGTATTGAATTCGTATAATTAATAGCTTTTTGTCTGTGTCTCCCTCTTGCTTCAGTCAGTGGAGGTGTATGTGCACATGTGCGCGTCTGTGCATCACGCTGGTGCCTGCTCTGTAAGGATAGGTTTGCTTGTTCTCCCTTAAAAGAGGGACTTAGTACCGCGGAATGTTATAAAATAGGCTGATGCTACAGAGTCTGGAAAAAAGTGATGTGCAACTGTGAAGAGAGCTCTGCAGGCAGACGCTGAGTGCAGGCAGAGTGGGACCTCCATGCCAAGCCCTGCATTGCTCAGTTGAGGGGTCTCTGTCCCTAGCTCTGGATCCAAGAGAGGAGGGAGAAGGAGGGGTACGGGTTGCCAGCGGAAGGGTTGGAACAGAGAGATGCCAAAGTCTGTCTCCCTCTTTGAAGGAGGGGATACCTGCTTTTCGGGAACTAGGAACATAGTATTGTGTGACGGGAGTATGAAACGTGGCCTCTTTATGGTAACAAGTACTATGTCCTGCTTTCAGTACCAAAAGGACTGTGAAGAGGAACATCCTGAAAAGAAGTCACACGGTCAGCTTTTAATTTTGGAAGACACTCTTTTATCTTCCTGATGGCCTTGTTACAGGGGGGAGGAAAAAAGTAAAAGGGTGAATGTGCCATCAGACACGCCGCAATATTGGATCGTGCTTCAGCGCCGCGTACAGTGCTGCCTGCTAGTTCCCAAGCTGATCCCTTACATTTTGTGTTTCATCAGTTACGGGTTTTGAAGGTGGCAGCCTCTGAAAAAGTTGTGAGGGAGTCAAATGTGGGGCTAATCCTTTAGAGAGTCTTCTTGAGTTACTTGTGAAAGAAGCAGATGTTGCAGATGTCTCTTGCTCATCTTTTTTCTGGCCTTTTTTGTTGTTTGTGGGCGTTTTTCTTTTTTTTTTTTTTTTTTTTTTTCCCTTTTGTTTGTCTCTCCGGCTGACTTTGGGGGGGGGTAAAAGCTTAAGGTTTGGCACTAGCAGGAAGCTGATGATGTGGCATGAAAAGACAACATGGTGTACTGCTTGCATTGTAAGATAAACACTGCTGTCAGCTCAGACTTCAGCGCTGTTCAACCTCTGTTCATCCAAATTTCTGCTAGGAGCTGTGTTAGAAGTCCCAGGGCTCTGTTCTCCTGTGTGGGAGAGGAGTCGGGCGTCCCTGTCCTCGCGGTGATGCTCGTGATCAGTCTTCAAAAAGATGTGAGCCCAGCAGCTGGCCGCAGCACCGACGGGTTGTCACTGTCTCCTGAGGAACGGGATTAATTGTGTCCATATCCCAGGAAATGGATTGGGTTTAAAAATCTGTGGGTTTATTTTATTCCCCCCACCAGTGTGTTATTAATTCAATTGCTCTTTGGTTTCTGAAGGATTTTGGAGGGGGCAGGGAGGGGGTGCAAAGATTTGTTTTAAACTGCCCTCTTCTTTAATTCATGTCTTGTTCGTGATGTATTTTTACCAGCAGCACTTTGCAATCCAACTGCCACTTGTAAATGTCATTTACTTGAATAAAAAAATGTAATTACATTTCTAAGTGTGACATAAGCACTGAAAGTAGTAACGGAATCACAAAGTGCTGTTTGATCAGCAGCTTTCCCATGACAGGAGGGAAAGTTTATGAAGTCCAGGGTATGCTGTAATACAAGTGTAGCAAAAAACCTCAAAATCACCTGTTTGCAGGTTTTCCCATCTCCCATTAGGCTTTTTTTTAGGGAAATACCTACTTATAAATCCCCCATATTAAATAAAAATGGATGAACGATATTTGGTTATCTCATGTTCTCTGACATTGATTTGTGTTTTTGATTGAAATCGGTAAACCAGTGCTTCCCAGCGCTCCTTGAAGAACAGTCGCTCATGCACCTGTTGACCATACGCCTTGAAAGGGGGTTTGTTGGAGTCCAGTAGGTTTTTTTCAGGATTAATACTGTCAAAAGCTTTTCAAAAGATTGCTTGATTCAACTTAAAAGCTGATGCAAACCTCTCATCTTTTTACCTGTAAAAGGGGTAAAGGAAGAAATTTTGCATTCACATGTATTTCTGGTGCTCCAGAAAGCAAAGTATGTCATTTTAACAGATGGACCGGCTCTCACTTTTTATAGTCCCAGTTTGTTCAAAATCAAAAGAGTCATTTTAAGTAACGAAATGAAAGTCTGCTGCATCTTCCTTTTGATACTGTATGTTTAAATTGCTGTTAACGAATTTCATTTGAATCACCATTGGTTTTCATACAACAGCGTGACAATGCAAATCCAAAGTACCCACTGATCCATGGGCTGAACAACATTTGTAAGCCTTCAGGTTCCATTCTAGTTAGCAGAAGGTTCAGTTACTTACAGTCTGCTGGGTTTTTTTCATTGCTGATGCCTTTATCCTAAAGAAGAGAGAGAAAAAATTGCGGTGGCTTGATTCTGCCAGGACTGTCATCCGTTACTAATTCTCAGTTGTTGTTCTCTAGGTAGCAATTTGGGTGCTTATTGAGAATGTGCCTGCTGGTGTCCCTCAGCAGCAAGTGTGTGTGTGTGTGTGCTGTAAGTGGGAACGTCCCGGTGTTTCCATGGGCTATGCCATTTTCAAACCTTACAGCTGATGTTTTGCTGTTTGCTACTTGGCATCAGTAATAAACGCCTCCTGCAGCTTCAGATTTTTGGTCTTCCTGGTTGCGTGCAAATGCGCGTCTTCTTTTTCCTACTCAGCGTGTGCAGGCGTAACCCCGGTCGTGCCGGGTACGCGGACGGTAGCACAGCCTACAAGTAGGAGCTGACAGAAGACCTGTCCGTCGTCTTGTATGTTCACAGCACACAGGTTTTGTGTAAATGGGAACTAGCACCACAAGTTTAAAGTTGATGACCTCCTTAAAGTTTATTAACACCTTTTCATTTACAGCTCTTAACCTGCCTTTTGTTCATGGGAGAGATGAGGTCTGGGTCTTGCGTCCGGACAACTTGCGTATGACATGCTGTAATAAAACTTCTTCAAACAACAGAATATTGGAAAGGGCCACATATTAGCAGTGCTCTGTATATATGCAACAGTGCTTGTAAAAACGTATGCGTAGCTGTTTATCTCGTTGCCAAGGTTGGGATTCCTGTGTAACTTTTCAACTGGATAGTTGTCCACAGTGCATGGGCTTAACTTCCTTGGAAAACTTAAGCCCCTCTTAAATTTCCTGCAAAAGCCAGGAGGGGCAGAAGTTCAACTGACATAAAACTATGCTGAATGAGTAATTCCCTGTGTGGACTCTCTGGAGAAGGATCTTTTCAGCCTTCTCTGGGGATGCCTTTATAAAAAGTTGAGTTCTGTTAAAGTTTTGTACTAAATCAATAAATAAGTTTATGATCAACAGCTGCTCTATTATTAACGCCGAGAATTTCCTATGCTCAAATTTCAGCCAGAGGATAAATTTTTCACTTAGGGAGCAGATACTGCCTTTGTCAACGATTCAGTCTCCAGGCCCTCTCTCAATTCTAGGTTTTCTTACCAACAAAAGACAACCAAAACCTTCCCTAACCCTGCCTGTAATGCCACGAGAGCAACAGAAATGTGTCCTGGTTTATGTCTGTGAAGAACAGTGGGAGCGCACCCCCTTTGTGATGATCTCCTGAGCTTTCTACCACCTCCGGGGAGGAGCTTTCTCCAGAGTTTTAAATTGGCCCTAGACTTACCCAAATTGAGGCAGGAACATTCCTTTAATTCCCCAGGCAGTCGTATGATGCTTAGTCAGCTAATACTGCCTTATATGGCCCGTTTGTAGACTACAACTCCGAGGAACCCCTGGTCTTTAAACCTTGACATAGTGACAAAGTAATGACGGTACAGGTCTCTGGATCAGCACATCCTGAAGCAAAAAAATTTTTTTTGTGTGTGTTATTGAACAGTTACTTTGATACCAGTCTTCCTGTGACTCCATTGTAACTATATATCTAGCCTTCGCTGTGTGCAGGAAAGCTTGGAAATGTGAACCAGGTGCACCCAAAACCCTAGAAACTTGAAAAACTAAGTATATAAAGTATACGTATTAAGTACATAAAAATATACTCGCCTTTTACGTTTCGTGTTTTGTGTTTCCTTTGCAGTGGTATCGTAGTTGGATGATTTCTCTTTTTGTAAGAAAACAAATAGAAACAAGTATCGCAAAACAGTGACAAGATTTTTTCCTCTCTCTTTTTCTCCCTGTTTTAGGAAGGCATGAGGTGCAGTCCTGGACAACAGCCACAAAGCAATCCTTGTGTCTCACGTGGCAAAAAGTGAAAGTGCAGCTAATGCTAAGCATGTCTTTCCTCGTTGCTGTTTTTTGGTATTGCAGAAGGCTATACAGCTTTTTAGCACAGCTACTGAAACGGTAGGTTTTTATTACGCAGACTTTCATCTTCCACACTGTTGCTTGTTTCGGTAGATACTGACCTTTGACAACTCCTCTTTGACACCTGTTTTATCATTTTGATTTCAGGTGGAGCAACTACCTTCAGAGAAAACTCATAAGTAATCTTTTTGTTGTCATTCCACATTCATTAATCCCCCCCCACCCCCCACCCCGCAACTACCCTTTAGATGCAGAACAGCAGAAGGTAACTAATCTGTGAATCAATCTCGATTTAGGGAATCTCAGTGTGCTGACAGAAGTTGATCTGCTTGGTTATAGTGCGAGAGAATGGAAAGGAGAAACAAAGCAGGCCAAACACATGAGGGAGGTAAGAGTTAAATTTCAGTCTCTGCGTGAGGATGGGGGAGAAGTAGTACCTGGGAAAGGAATAGCACTCCCAGCGCAAGCAGCTGCCGCAGCTACCAGAGCCTGCTCCACCAAAAAAGTGAAAGGGACAGTGTGAATGTGGGTCTAAATAAAGACTTCAGTAGAGCGGGTCAAAACGTAGATTGGATTTCAGTCGTGCATCTTCTCCAAATTCCCCCCTGTAGCACCAACGGCCCATGCAGTGGCTTTAACAGGAAAAATCATCCCCAGTGCTACAGCCCCAATGGCTTGGTCTTAGGCGCTGTCTCTTGGCCAGCCTTTGATTTAAGGTTAAAACTCTCATTCCAGGGAGGAATGAAACACACCCATTTCTCTGAAGGTCC